TAGGCGCTGCGGTGAGTACAGTGTGGATGGACGATTTAGCAGAAGTTGGCCCAAAATGCTGAAAGTACTGGAGGTGGTGGGAACAAATTCCTTCTCAAGTCTTATAGTTCAAGTTTAGATTGGTGGCGTCTGTGTGTGTGTGTGCACGCTCCCAAATCGCCCGTGTGGCTTTGTTTGGATCATCACTTGGAGTGCAGACTGTTCCTTTTTACCAGATGCTCGAATCCTGCTAAGCTGGCCATTTCTTCGTCCCATCGGTTCTCTCTTTGCGTGCGGCTGCATTGGCTGCATGATCTTGTCCTTTTATGACAGATCAACCCCATTCCCAGGTTCCGACCGACCCGATTGACCCAGTACCTTAAACAACATGCGTGACATGACCCTATCCAAAACAGGTACGACTGGGGCCTCATGTTCTGAGGTATGAAGAGGTCAACTCCACGTATTTTAAAGCAAAACCGGCAAAACCTAAAAATTATTGGATTCGATCTTTCTTGAGGCCCATCCAGAAACGCTTGTGACGGTAAAAAGTTCAGCATTGAACTGTGATGTGGTGGAACCTTTTGTATTTACAATTTTGCTGCACAGCAAGCGGAATCGGTCTTTGGACTTGATTTGTCATTCTTGTATTGACATGTTGTAACCCCGCAGAAATTGATATAAAGCACGCATTGAATCACGCACATCATATTTTGTTTGATTCATTCCTCCGACAATGCTGCAATGCTTCAAAGCTTTCTGCTTCAGTAGGATTGGATGCAGTAGAAAACCTTCAAAAGCGAGAATGAAGGCCAACAAGAGTCTAGAGATGTCTAGAGTTGAGGTAGTTCAGTATATATAAACATTCTGCTTGAAGTTTTGTTCCATTCGAGTTGCCCTTGGGTATGCCTCCAATTAGCTGAAAAGAATCCGTAAAGAGATCGTCGCACCAGCACCTGCTGGCTCAGGCTTTCCAACTGCTTCGTCACAGGTGTCTTGGCACAAGCAGCACCGGGTGTCTTGCATGTGTTTGGCGTGTTGGCTGTTGAAGCGAACCATATCAACCCCCCCCCAGGGCCCCAGGGGCCTGGAAAAGACACGGAGAGATGAGGGGGGCTGATTGATCACCATTTTCAACATCCGTAATGTAGACGGTTGATTCATCAACCCCTCCACCTGGAGGAGCGGCCGATGCGTCCACGACGCCTGTCCAGCCTGAGGAGTCAGTGCCACTGACTCGCTTGTCCGACCCGTGGGCCAGGAACAAGCCTGTCCCATCCAAATGGGAGGACCTACAGCTTGGGAAGTCGCATCCATTTTATGACGAGAAAGGAGCTCAGCTGCAAGAGCTGCAGCGCTTACAGGCCTCTGGCCACAATGGAGGGGTTGTGCTTACTACCACAACTTGACGATCAGGTCCCTTCGAGGTGATTCTCTTCGGCAAGATCGTGGAAGCCGCTGTCAAATGTTGTGCAGAGAATAGAGATGAAAGTTTGGTCGGCCCACGACTAGCAGAAGTGGCGGTGGCGCTACCGCAACACCTGCACGCTCTGGCAAATACCAAAGAGGTCGCGCCACGTGGATCGCCGCTCCACACCATGGTGATCCTGTCCTTGACTGTGGACATCACTGGACAGAGGAGAGTGATGGATGTTGGTGACGTTGTTGCGCCAGATGTTCGGCGTGCTGGCCGCCATGCCACGTGATGAGCGATGACGAGGAGGATGATGAGCCAGCAGACCCAGGCACTACACCTTCTGGGTCCGCCAGGTCGAGAACTCCACCCCCGAAACCTATGGTCGTAAAGCCTCCTCCACAATGCATACGAGAGGATCCCTCTCAGCGGCAGCAGGCTTACGTCGAGTCCGGGCGAGTAGAGGAGTTTATACCTTTTGGGTACTTCACTACCCCACCACCAGGGCCTCCTAAGCCTCCGCCACCGCCGCCAGCGGCTCAACCACCAAAGCCTAAGCCTATGCCCGAGCGGCCACCACGATCGTCGAGCCCAGCTCCGGCCACGGCCACTCAAGAAGCATCTGGCAGAGAATCCTTAGGGATAACCTGGCACTGGCGGGGAGATGAGTGCAACAGCAGGGAGCACACTTCTATGTGCTGTCGGACGACGGGACAGGAGGAGAAGGAGCCGACGGCTTGAGGTATATTGCACTGCTCCCTTCCAAACATACAAAATAGAGTCACTCATGCGGTGCCGGTGTGTGCCCGCTTCGGCTTTAAACTCAAAGGTCCTGCTTGTGAATTCACTACGTTTGAAATCTGAACTCGTTTTGGAGTTGGACAGCAGACTCATTAGCAAATCGGAGTTTGAAGGTGCCTCGCAGTCTCCCTCGGCCTACTTCAAGGAGTATGTCCTGAGGATCCAACCGAGCATCCATGACCAGCTGACCCTCTACGGCTTCAGACATAATAAGCATCCATCTGCTGGCATGCTCAACGACGCAACGACCAGCTAGCATGGAGTGGATTCTCTTCTCGCAGGGTGCTGTGTGGGGCCAGGGACCCAAGATTCGTGGTGAAGCTGTCTCCTCCAGGCCGAAGAAAGTTTGTCCTGGTCAACTCCCGAATGGGGTGGCCACCACATTACGCACGTCTTGGCTCCTAAATGCCATTCGAGGGTTGCAAGAAATGCTTTGCTTCCACTCTCAAATTTTGCAACCTGGCCCCAGGCTGTTTATTCAACGTCGTACCATCGTCAATACCAGAGCCAGGCTTGCCCGTCTTCGTGCACCCGGTCCATAGGAGTCCTAACCTTGTCGAGGTGTCCATTGCCCTCCAATGGGCGCAAGATGCCTTGGTCCTTTGTGACATGGAGACTAAGATTCGTAGAATCCATGCTTGCAAGCCCAAAGTTCAGGCGCCTGGAAATTCATCCTGTGCCTTCATCTTCAAGCACCTCCGTCACCGTGCCAAAGATGAACCGTCCAACCTGGTCACAGACAGTCAAGGTAACACGGTCTTCGACCCACAAGGTGCATTGTGTGAGATCAATTAACCAGCAATGGGATCAGGTTTTCAGTGCCAACCAGGGCTTTCCTCACCCGCTCAAGATGCTTGAAGTGGTGTGGCCTCACATCCATAAAAATGCCATTGAACACCCAGTACCTGAGCTCACAGCACTGACCTTCAGATCACGGTCCAGGCTAGGAAGAAAGACGCGGCGCCCGGCCTTGACGGCTGGCGCACGCTTGAAATGCAGTCCTTACCAACGGATGCCTTCGAACCGTGCGCTGCCATTTTTCGACGGGTTGAAAACAAGACCCACTGCCACAGGCGTTGGCCCACAAGAACGGTAGCTCCGAGCCCTTGCAAAAGCGGCTTATCACCCTTTTGCCAGTTGTCATGTTAGCGTATACTGGTGCCAGATTCAGCCATCTCAAACAGTGGCAGATGCAAGTGATGCCCCCCGCTTCAAAGGGGCATCCCAAGGAGGCAGATGGCAGCCATACATACTTTGCGGTCAAGATCGAGAAAGCCAAATGCTTTGATCGCATCATACCAACCTATGCCGGTGCCTTGATGCTTGCATTCGGTGTTCCCAGGCAGGTCGTAACGGTCTTTGTGAAGCTGTACGGGCAGCTCCAGAAGCGCTTATAGCCTTCAAACCTTGGTTCTCAACTCATGGTTTGAATGGGTCGCACAGGGATGCTCGCTGTCCCTGATCGCCATCAATGTCCACATGAAAGCTTGGGTTCACCTTCTTGAGGTTTTGCCGGATGTTTGTGCACAAGCCTTCATCGACGATGCCTATATTTGGACTTCATTGTCCAAGCCATCCGCATCACCGAAGAATGGGACAAAGCTTGTCGGTCAGGCCATGAATTGGACCAAATGCTCCGTACGGGGGCTCTACCACTGCTTCGTACCCTCTTTCCGGAGATGCATTTCGTTCTCGAGCTTGAAGTGCTAGGCGTTAACATTTTGACTAGTGGGCGTAACGCCATGCATTTTGGTGAAGACAAGTTTGCCAAGATCCTTGCTGATACTAGGAACATCGCAGCGCTCCCGCTGCCTCTTTCGTGCAAAGCCAAGCTTTCACTTCTTTGGTTTCACCTTGAAGAAGGACGGCATGCTGGTGTTTAAGTCAAAACCGGTTGGTGACTTCACGCTTGTGCCCCACAAAGATGTCAGGCAAACGTTGCAGGTCCTGTCCCAGCATGAGATGTATGCCGAAACCGCTCTCTCTCTCTCCTTTCGCGTAAGGACATTGCATGCCCGTCAGGCATCCTTGACCCATTTGTCCAACTGGTTCTTGAGCCATTCCCGGTTGACGTTCGATGGTGACATTCCAGCGTCGGCCTTCTTTGAGGCCCAACCAGTTGGTTGGTTGTGTTGTTACCCGGGACCGCCTTGCCGTTGCGAACCTTGAGCCTGACTCCGCTTGTCGGCGTCGGCTTTGTGCTTCCGCCAAGGAATCCTTGCCGCATTTGGTCCGTAGCTGTCCCATTGTTACTTTGTCCGTTGCAGACTTTGACCAAAATAGGATCGTTACGCATGTTTGGACCGATGGCTCAGTTCTGTGGCCGAAGATGCTGGATATGCTGTTGTTGAGGATTCAGTCCTTGTCCTGGCAAGTGGAAGAGTTTGCCACTGGGCCTCGCACAGCTACACTGCTAAGTTCTGGGCACTCTTTGTGGCCTTTGCCAGAGCCCCTGGGCCTATCGTAGTCCATATGGATTGCCAAACATTGAAGAAACATGTTGACGCACTCTCTGCCATTGCGCCAACGTGGCCGCTATGTCTCCCTTCCGCAAGCTGTGGAGCCAACGCAGGCGTGCGCACCCTTCGCGCGTCGCCGCCGTCTGGGTCCCGTCCCGTGTGTTGGGGCGGATCCCTGAGAAAAAAATGCTTGATGAGGACATGGCGAAGGCCCATCACACAACTGTCCGTGAAATTTGTCTCAATCGAGCTGTGGATTTCGCTGCTAAAGTTTTTGAAAGAGCTGCCAATTGGATGCCTTCTGGCCAGTTTGTCAATCGCTCAAGTGGTGTGAAGAGCCACAGCAACTCATTTCGTATGCTGAGCTCGCCATTGCCTTTCAGTGCGGTGGTTTTAGGTGTAGCATTCACTCGGATGAGCATGCAACTTTTCGCCATCTTATTGTTTGGATCAAACAGGCCTTCGTCCAGGCTGCTCGATCTGACTTGTGCGTCCATCATGGCACGCGCGATGCACATCTTCATCATGCCTGGGGCAAAACGATGCCCCTTGGATCTATCACAGGTGCTTCTATCTATCTCCCTCCTGAGGCGCTTCGCTTTTTAGTTGCTGTGACGAGGCGAATTTCCAAAGCAAGCCTTGCAACGTGGGAGTTTCCCCTGGCGAATTTCAAATGTTCCTGACTTTGTTTGGCCCCTCTGGGGTCCCTCTGGGGTTGTGCAGTTGGCCTTTTCCTTGCCAATCAGTGGAAAGCTGATGGCAATGCTCGGACCGATGGATTCATCTCGAGCGCGGGAGGTAGAAAAGGCTTCACAATCCATGTCCGAGGGGTGTTGCCAATCAGTCAAGAACCTGAGTGACCTCTATGTGTGATCAACCACCCAAAAGATAACACATTAGTGTTTTGTTTTTTCTTCGGGTTGTGCACATGTGGCGGAGTTCGTTCCGGTTCCTGGAGGAATCTCTGGTCGACTTCTTCCCGGCTTCCGAGTTCGGAGCCGCCCAATGCGTGGAACCGACTCCGGGGCGGTGAAGAAAGTGAGTGCCGCCGACGAAAGGCGTTGGGAGGATGAACTCGGGGAGTCATCGGACCTGTAGCTTCTTGTTACTACCCAGACATTCCATGGGACTGCCATATATGCCGATCAGTTGGGGTGGTGCCACGGGGGTGAATGTAGGCATTATATGACATACATGGAGTGTCTGGGCTATAGTAATGCACTTGTTACTACTAGCGATGCACTTGTTACTGGCCCTGCACCTCCAGTCGTACCTCCTCAGGTAAGGTATGACTGGACCCGGGAATGGCACCCGCCCCAGTCCCACCTTCTCAGAAGGTGCGACTGGAAGCCAAACACGTAGTAGTTTTTTTTGTTTCACTACTAATCTCCGATATCCGACTCGGGGACTCGGTTGACTCGGTTGCTATGGAGGTCGCCCCCCCTTCAGGTGAACCACTGTGTGGATCAACGGCTGAGCGAAACAGTGTCGAAAGAGGGACCAACAAATCCAGATTGGTTGGGTTGTTGGATGTTGCTGGTTTGGAATGGAATCCCCCAGTGGTCCGTCCTGGTACATGGAGTGGCGAATTGCTTCAGGTGACGACGAGATGCGTTGCCTGCCAACGCTCCTCAACTTGGCACCACCCAAGACACCCGGCTGAGCAGAACTCCGGGAAGGTCTCCGCCTTTTCCACGTTGACTGCTGAATTAGAACACCTCTGGGACTCACATGTGACCGACCTGAAATCAATGTAGGCGATGTTCCTTGCATGGAGGGTCTGTGTATGAAATACTCATCTATAACCTATCTGGATCCGAGTACCTTTCCAGAAGGTGATTGGAGACACTGTGATCTAGGTGCCAGGGACGGGTCCTGTCATACCTTCCATGACATGGAACTGCTGGGATGTCAATCCATTCGGGACACCGGGGGCTTTATGAATGTAGTCCCCATCCAGAAGTTCATGTCCAATATCGCCGTTTTGCGGAAACGTATACGTGTTTGAAGCAAGGGAGATGTAGTCTGTATCCCTTGCAACCCCCAAAAAGGTCCACAAGTATGCAGCATGCAACAATACCCAGACACTCCATGCTCCATGTATTTTTTTAAAATCTACATTGGGGTGTTGCCCGGGGGGGGCAATGGGGCGGCATGTATTCCATACATGGAACGGAGTTTATGCAACAATAGTCATTAGCAATCACTATAGGGCTCCAGATACCAGATACCTTCTGAGAAGGTGGGACTGGGGTGGGTGCCAGCCAGTCGGGTCCAGTCATACCGAACCTGAGGAGGCACCTGGAGCCCTAGGGAATAAAATATTGCACCCTCTTTGACCAAACGGTTCAGTTCCACTGGCCATTGTTCAGTTCCACTGGCCATTGTTCAGTTCCACTGGCCATGATCGTGGCACCATGACTTTCTTCATTCAAAAAGCATGACAGTCGGAGCTGGACCTGGCTCTTTCTGTTGCGCAAAACTCAGCATTGGTTCATTGAACATGGCACTTAAACATCAATTCTGCCAACAGGATTAGTGCTCCACACCTCTTAATTGGCCGTAAACCACAGGCAACTAAAGAATCGCATCTCCCGTCAACACCAAAATTTATCAGTGCATGTGCATGCAAAATCTGCCCATCCTACTGCGCAACTTGCATTTCCTATAAATGAGCACCATCCCACAGCGAAACCCGAGAACCAAACACCTTTGCGTTCGGCATGAAAAACAACATGTTTGGCCTTTCTGGTCAATCCTCAAGACAGAACTGCTTATTTTGCATTGGGCAAATTCCTGGTTGGCGTTCTTCGTGTGGGAGGTCCCATGCGAGTGGGGCCTTTGAATCAACGACGCTTTGCAACATCTGGCGGCTGAGTAGACGATGGCGAACCACTGACCAGAGTAGATTCAAAACACAAGACACAGCAGCTCGTTCGCAAGAAACCAGCTCATTTGTAAGTCCAATCTCACAAGCTTTTCTGGGAGAGAAAGATCGCCCACAAAAAGGGTCGTTTTCCAGTCGGCATCCGGCCCTTTCCAGTCGACCGGATGCCGGCCCTTTCCTCCGAATGTTCAGTAGTACGGCAAAGTAAGCAGCTCAGTATAGTATCCGACATCACCGTCTCATCTTTTCTTGAGAAAGTTGAACTCTTAAACCTTGATTGTCATGGAATCTTCACTAACGGCTTAAGGTGCGTGTTGGTTCTAATGTTTTGTTTTTGCTTGATCTTCTAATAACGGCTGTTTGCGTCTCCTTGGTCCAAACCCCCCCCCCTTTTCCGTCCCGCGCCCATGTCTTCCGTCCCGCGCCCATGTGCCCGTGCTGTACTCGTGCGGCTTCCCGCCGTGGGACCGAGGAGCGGAACCACCGAGATCTATCAGCAGATCCAGACCATGCCGCGCGGTGTGGACGGGGAGCCACCGACCGGGGCAGGGGGAACAGACGCAGACGCAGACGGGCGCAGCCGCGGACGATGGAGCCGTTGGTGGATTTGGAGAGGCTTCCAGCGCCGACATGACTGGTGGGCTAGGGGGGTGGTGTTCTTCCTGACTTTGCTTAGAAGGACTAGAAGGAATACTTTTGACTTTCCCATATAAACCTGGGGCATGTTTTTTGTGTTTCTCCCGGTTGCTGGACAGCAACTTCAAGTGGAGAAGCAGCAGTCAGGTTTCCAGGTTCCAGGACCGGGCTATCATTCCCTAGGGCTCCTGGCCCACCTGAGAAGATGCTTGGGGTGGATGCCAGGGGCGTCTAACCACCTGAGGAGATGGGCCAGGAGTCCTAGGGTATCAGATCTGCATAGTTTCTGAAAAGATGGGCCAGGAGCCCTATAGGGATTCGACATCTCTAGCCTTGAATAGGCACTGGAAGATGAAATTGTAGTCATTCCCACCAGGACCTTCAAGGGGTGTCCAAAGCAAATCCCTAAGTAGTGTAGGGGCTTCCATTCGGGACCCTTTGGAAGGTGCTGGTGTATGTTGTTTCATGTTGTGTGTTTGTTGTTCTAGCTGTATTACACACCCATCTCTCATAACACCACTCTTCCAATCTTCTCACCACACCCAGCGAATCCCCTTATGGTTCGATCATGCACTTTTATAATTCTTCCAGGACCGACAGGTCCTTTGACTACCTGTCTTTCGCCCATCCCGTGGAAGTCCGGTGGAACTCCTTCCGGTGGAGCTCCTGTTGTTGGGGTCCCCTTTTTTGGAGCCGAACCGAATGGAGGGTCCTGGTAGAGGTTTCTATAGGGGTTTCAACATGTTTCAACCATACCAGGACCCGAAAGGTGTGAAGAAATCAATGATGATGGTCTTTAAAAATAACATCGAAAACATCTGGGAAACCGGCTCCAGCGTCGAATGACCTGGGTTGCCATCCGAACGACCAGGATGGGCGACGGATTCAACTCACCAGTAGACCGTGTTCATAGGCCTTTCATCCCGGTGTTTTTACCTGTTTGTCTTTACCGGGTGTCGGGGGTCCACCTTCTGAGGATGTGGGCCAGGAGATGCCAGGAGCCATTGGAGCCCTAGGGATACAAATTGACACTATAAAACCACACATTCTTGTTAACAGTCTTGGAAGGTTAGGGGGAGTGTTCAGTGCAGCACTTCAAGTGGTGCTTGTTCAGCTAAGATGGCAGCTGATGGAATTCCGCTTGAATTCGTGCTGAAAAACACTGAAAGAGACCTAGCGCATCCGTGGAGGATTTTGCGCATTCCAGGACTCCGACCATTCGAGATTTCCAAGTTTTGGATTAATCATGATTAAACCACATTAAACCATTGCCATGCATGTCTAGACCATCCAATGGATGTCCAATGGACTACCCTGCGCCTCTTGGGGATCTCTGTTGGGCACCCAGAAACAGGATGGTCCAGGTGCTCATGTTGCCACAGAGAAGCTTGGTTTCAAAAGGTCTACGACATAGACGGACCCAACAGCTGGTGGGTCACCTTTGGAACCCCCAGAAGCATTTGGGGGTCACCTGGGCCCCCGAACTTGTTCCGGAAGACACAGGAAGTCCCAAGTCGAACGGTGGGCCTTCAGCCAGACCGCTGATCCTCCAGCTCACCTGCCACTGTCGTTCCGTCCGAAACACCGAGGCCAGAGGTGATCTCGGCCGCACCGGCCGAGCCCTCGTCGCTCTGCCGCGGCCGCAGCGCGTTTTGGTGCTCTAAGGACCAGAAGATGCGGTCAGGTAGACTCCCTATACACCTCCAGGAGGTTACCTCCTCAGGTTTGGTAGGACTGGACCCGACGTAGAATGGCACCCGGACCCCGGTCGTCCCACTGAAACGAAACGAGTTCGTACGAGTGGCGGCCGAAGGGGCTCACAAGACCCAACCAATGGAAGATCTGATGTGTCTTGGACCGGTCCTGAGGTGGCCTCTTAGAGGTCAGGCCTGGTGTCCCCAACACCACCGGGCGAACGGGTACGGTGCTGGTCGGGAGGGTTTTGTACCCTGATGGTTTGGAGCTGGAGGAATTCAACGTCTCATGGACGGTGGGATGGCTTACATGGCGGTACCCAACCTTGCCTACTTGCCGCCTTCAAACGGGTTTCAAAACGACAGGGGGCCGACCTATCTTGGTAGGCCTTTAGGGTTCCACCATGTTCCACACATCTAAAGGCCATTGATCCTTGGTGTGACCGATTCATGACGCCCGAAGTAGAGCCTAAACCGCGAGATTCCAAACCCAGACACCTGGGACTGGCACAGATATCATCATTACACCTGCACAGGTGGTTTTCAAGAGTCAAGTAAAGGTAAAATGCCATACAGGACCTTCCCAGTGACCTGTTTAGGGTTCGCAAGCAGCCTTTTGCAGACCTGTTCGTGACCTCAGCCACTGGAATCTCATGAAATAGGTCACTGGGAAGGTCCTGGCATGGAATGTTTGGAAATCCCAGTACGCTGAAACGACCCAGTCACCCAGTCACGCACGGACAAACACCAGTATAGGACCCAGTGAGGCCTACTCTTCCGGATCCAACCACAGAGGTCACACTTGGCCCTCAAACACCACAATATCCTACTAGCGATGGCCTTCAACCTACTAGCGATGGTCTCCAACCTACTATATATCATCAATTCATACCCATACACTCCATGTATATATGCCTACATTGGGGTGGTTTGGGGGGTCAATGTAGGCATATATGGCATACATGGAGCGTTTGGGATATGGACATCCTGAAACGTCCTGTACATCTCGAGCCACGAATCGAACGCTGGAACTCCCCAGGAGCCTTCCTTCTGGCACGCTCCACGGAGTGCTGCATCACTTCAGGCCCCTCTCTCAACTGACCTGGTGATCAGCGGATCAACGCGATGGTGTTTATGTTTTCCAGTTCCTGGGTGAATCCCCCAGAAGGGGGAATTGTTGGTTCCCGGTTCCGGTGAGTCCCAGCTGGGGTCCGGTGACGGACAAGCCAACTCGCAGAGGGGGTCCAGTGACGGTGGACGTCTCGTCGGACGTCGTTGGACGGAGTGAGTCGCGCAGTTCGTCGCTGGACCCGAAACGCGAGTTGTTGCGTGGCACCGAACAAAGCGATGAAGAAAGTCTCATGCAGCACAAAGGATTTCATGAACATCATACAGTCTAGTTTTTGCTGCGAAGACCTCATCGTTTGTAACAAAAAACAATGCTTCAAAACGGTCTTTGCTGGCATAGGAGAGGAATACTCGAATTGGGGTTCTCGGGAAAATGATAGAACATGCATCTGGGACAATTGGGCAAAACCGGATGGCAAGAATATCATCAAGATCCAGAGTTCTAGCCCTGAAACTGAACCCTACACCTCCAAGTACCTCCTCAGAAGGTATTTGGACCCTCTTGGCGCCCACCCCAGTCCCACCTTCTCAGAAGGTACTTGGAGGCCTAGGAGAAGAAAGCACGCCATCCATCATCCCTTTTGCCTATGCACATACTGGGAACAAGAAGCTACTAGTAGCAAAGGGCATTGCTACAAGGAGCAAGGACGCTGCTAGGTGCTCCTGGCTACAACAAGAAGCTATTAGGAGCAAGGGCATTGCTACCAATAACAAAGGGCATTACTACCAGTAGCATTCTTGCTAGGTAACAAGAATGCTACGAACGGGGCTCCTGGCCTGACTACTATAGGAGCGTTCGGACGCTACGAACGGGGCTCCTGGCATCCGCCCGCTACAACCGGAACCCACTCTTCTCTCGGTCGACCTGGTTTTCTGCGGACCGCCGTCGCGTCGGATCCCCCGGTTCGACTCCACCGAGCCCTAGCGTCCTTGTGACGTTCCGTCGAATTCTTGCTACGTAGCGATGGCCTCCACTCTACGGAGCGGCCTTCACCGAGCCATAGCGTCCTTGTAGTAGTCTGGTTCGACTCTCCTTTTCCAAGTGGCGAAGGATTCAGGAATGCCTACCCAGGAAGTACGTGGACAGCCTGCCGGTCACCTTTCTTGAATTGGGGAGTGTCCCCACTAAACAGGTCGAAAGTTCAGTTAACCGGTAACCTTAACAGGTCGAGACTCGCTCCGACCGCTGAACTCTCATGAACCGCTCCGGTCGACCGACTGGACGAGACGGGGTCATCCTGCAAGGAGTACACCTTGATGTACCAGCCTTTGACAGAGAAGTTGCAAGGAGGATCACTGAGCGCGACTACAGCCGCGCGCGTGGCTGTCGCGAGAAGCCGCGCTGGCTGTGCAGGGAGAGAAGCAGAAGCATCGTTCAGCAGCTCAATTCTCCACGTGAACTGAATGAGGGTGGCTGTTTTGAGGGTTGACTCGGAACAATTGCGAAGACCTTGCGCACGTGAAGAAAATCATCAGTTGGAACCCTGATGGCCCGGGTTTGTGTTGGATCCTGATTACAAAAGAGATCCTCCATAATGCAACTCTTTCCAACCCCATGTTTGTTTTAAGGGTCCTCTATTATGCTAAATTTATTGGTGCCACTTGCGCCCCCCCTCCCTTCTAGTCTTATAGGGTTCTCTAGTTCTTGTTCAAAACTGACAGCTTTCCAAAGCCATCAATTCCTTAATCAATCCTGTAGGTAAAGATTGCTCCTGCACAAATGTTCATGGGAAGGCCCCTGATCGTCAATAAATAGATTGGTTAAGCTTCCTTAATTGTGCAAAATTGTTTCATAGATACTCTGTCGTACTTCCTTGTGCTTCATCAATCCAAGGAGTGACAAATTGTTTGTTTGTTTGTTTGTCACCAATCCTTTGGTGCAGCGCTCACACTCAAGGCACCCTTGCTGCTGTCTCTCTTCTCACTCTCCACCTCGCGCCTGTTTGCCCACCTTGGCAAGGTGCTCCTCAGCAACTTGCAATCTTTCAGACCATCCATAGCCCACGTCGGCAATCTTCTGCGGGTGGGGCAAAACGAGGAATCCAGGTCAGAGGAAGTTGATATCCAACGCTGCGAAGACCCGATATTCCAAAACGGCGGTCTTCACAAGACAGACTGTGCACATCATCTCTTCAAACGGCAGCTTCCAAGTGTGGTGATGTTAACATCTCATTAGTAAACCGCCCCCCCCTATGATTTTTTTGTTGGGGGGGTAGTCAAAAACCTGAACCGTAATAACAATAAAACTCTCCAGGCCATTTGGCAGAGGGGATAGTAGTAGTAGTACTACTACTACTACGACGACTACTACTAGCTGCTTTCATTCTGCTTGCATTTGCTTTCATTCTGCTTGCATTTGCTTTCATTCTGCTTGCATTTGCTTTCATGCTGCTTGCATTTGCTTTCATTTTGCTTTCATTCTGCTTGCATTTGCTTTCATTATGCTTTCATGTTGCTTTCATTTTGCTTTCATTCTGAAAGCACTTTGATATCTGTCGTTAGAAAGACAATATATTCGATCGTTAGCTATGGACTCATTGACGTGCTGGACTCTTGATATCTTACTTCATAATAGGGCACCCCGTTTCCAATCCAGACCTATTATATATACATCGATCCACGAAAGGCAGGGAAACAACAACTCGCGAATCATGTGCTTGTCTCAATATGTCTTTTTCAAAAGGCCAACAATTTTTTTATTTTTTCCGGGGTGGACCTGCACTACCACACTACCCCCTGAGAAGCTACTCCTACGACTGGACGGTGCATGACACCCCCGCAGGAAGCGGATCATCGACCATCGCAGTGGACTGGTCTCCATTGAACTATGCCCCTGGACGCATCAGCGGCGAAGTGTGGCGTGTGGTGTGCGTTCGGTGGGAGTTTTCAGCTAAGTTTTGTCTCAGATCGATGGGCTTGTGACAGCCGGTGTGGAACATCTGGAGATTACAGATCATGTTGGATATCTCAAAATGCCGCAAATCGATCTATATCAGGGTGAAAACCATGTCGACTGAACGGTCGACTGAACGGTTGCATGTCAGCTCCGCCGCACAAACCATTTGGATCCGGGTGCGTCGCAAGCACCCTCCAAAAGCCCTCCACAAGAACCTCTCTGCCCACTCCACACTACCCAAGAACAGTGGATCGCCTGCCCAGACTTGGTGGCACCCCTCTGAATATGAACACTTGAAAAGGGTTGTAATAACATTACCCAAAGGCTCATTGGACCCTCATAGCCAGGGTTTTGACCCTCACAGCCAGGGTTTTGGACCGAACCAACACGTAGCAGTTTGAGGGTCCAGGGTCGCCTCTGGGTAATAACTCACAAAGTCAGCCACCTGACCTGAGTGGTTCACAAATGTCATTTCCGGAGATTCACCTGACCTGTTCAGGCCACCGGATGAACCGTCGAGACCACAAACACGTATTTTCATGTTATTTTCAATGCAAAAGAAACACGTATGTTAACCGTCCTTAATATATACTTTATATAGCTATGTATAGTAGCAAGGTGCATCCCTACGAACGTAGCAAGGGCCTTTTCGCGTTTCGAACCTAACTGCCACCGGTGGTTCGGCTGCCCAGGAAGCGAATCCTTACCTCCTTGGGCGCTTCGTGGGACCCGCGGCGCGCTTCGTGGCCTTCCTGCGGAATCCCGTCCAACGAGCCGAGTCAGAGCTTTGGACCGAGTGCCGGGCGAGCACGAGCTGGTGGTTCGGCGGGGTGGAGCGGGCCCATGCGGGCCCTGGGCTTGGGGCGTTGGGAGCTTGTGGAGGCAAGAAGACCCGGAAGCTACCAGCTTCCAGTCCAGGTCACCTGGCTGGACAAGCCAGCCCACGACGTAAAGAGGTCTCCTACTCCAGGGCACCCAGACAGGAAGTGGATAGGAATGATAAGAGCTTTCACCTGGATGTTGAACAGAAAACAGAAGACGACTTTATATGGATTTAAAACAACAACTGAAAAACATGTAAAAACAAAGAAACCTTTACATACCAGCAGTCACATGTCGGGGTGCCGAACTTGGAGAATAGGGGTATCCATTATCCACTCACTTAGGGACTAAAAACCACCCCTTTGTGACTTCTGGTAACTTTACTTTGTTTGCGTTAATCCCTAGGGATCCAAGTACCTTCTCAGAAGGTGATTGGAGACACTGTTATGTAGGTGCCAGGAGGGTCCAGTCGTACCTTCTGAGGTTCGGTACGACTGGATCCCTATATAATAGGGTTTGTTTACCCGCATCAATGGGGGTTCTTTTTCTTCCCTCCGCTTTTCCACCCTGAGCTTCCGGGATCCAAAAAGGGGGGCCGACCCTGACACGGTGTTTTTGAGGTGAACCATCCCAGACACGACTGCATGCGACTGGTAGTGGGACTGGTATATTGACCGATCAGTTGGGGTGGTGGTTTGGGGGGTCAATGTTAACAAATTCCAGTCCCATGGAGTGTGTGGGCATGGCGAAGCCAAATTCTCATGATTCTTCAGGAGTTTAACGTTTGGGTTGAATTTTTTGGGTGTCCTATTGCCTGCAACGTTTGGGTTGAATTTGGGGGGTGTCCTATTGCCTGTAACGTTTGGGTTGAATTTCAGGGGGTCCTAGTAAAGCTGTAACAGTACTGAGAGGGGTTACTGAGATCCCTACTGAGATTCCTATTGGTTTGGGGACGTCCCAGGTTTGACCTGCAACAGCACCTGGTTTCACCAGAACATGGCCTGTAGCCTGGCCCCATCCATCATCCGGTGACTGGCAATAGGATATACTCTTCCTGGAACTAACATGGTTACGTGGATTTCACCACCTCTTGGTGGATTTCAGGGTCTTCCGAACTGGCCAGGGGCGCCATCCACGTAACCATGGGGCCGTTCCAGGGAGTGAATCTACAGTGCACAGCGGATCCAGTCGTAACCTCTTCTTCGGCACGAGGCACCCTCCAAACCCCACCCCCGGGCCCCGCAAACAGCACGGAAACGAAACGATGCGGTGGTGTCCTGGATCCCTATAGAGACACCCGGTGTCCTTTTGCTTCTGACTCACTGTTTTGCATTGAGAACCTGATGCATTTACAGCCCAAATCGGCCATCATCAGCCCCTGGGGCTTTGTTTGAAGCGTCCAAGTACTAGGCTCAGGTGGTTCTACTGAAAATGTGGTCCCTAAATATAGATAGTGGCGCGGTATCCAATACATATAGTATAGTGGGTATCTACGAACTTCTATCTATTTCAAATTCTATATCTTTCCCTTCTTATCCTAGGCCTCCAAGTACCTTCGTTTCGAAGGTGGGACTGGGCGCTCGGGTGCCATTCAGTCATACTGAACCTGAGGAGGTAACCTCCTGGAGGCGTAGGGTCTACGTGGTTTGTCACTGAGTTTGTGCTAAACTGAACTCATCAGGTTGGTGGTCCTTGATCACCCCGCTGAAAGGAAAGGTTTTCACTGTTTCTTTAACCGATGGCCTGCCACCATCGGTTGGTGTTACGGGTAAAACACCGAAGGACCGTTGTTAGACGTATTTGAGACGACTTTCGACCAGGTCGACCGAACTCTTTAGACAGGTCCAACGGAAGGCAACCGGGGTTTGGATTCTTGCATCTGAAGCCAGGACTACAATTGGTCCATTTACACCGTGGGATTGAGCTGCACAGCCTCCAAGAAGAAGATACAAAGCCCCGGCAGCTCCAGTGGTAGCTCCCAGGCCATGCATAAGCCTCTTGGTCGAACCGTTCATGTCCTCCGAATACCCTACCCAGGGAAGTGGATAACGTTTAGACTTTAAACTCGTTCAACCTTTTTTTGGTTGTTCCCGAGTGTGTGTGTGTGTGTGTGTCTCATGTTTTTTTTTGGGGGGGGGGGGCTAGTTTGCCCACTCAAATGAATGGGTACAAAATGGTTAAACGCCTTGTTTGTTTGTTCGGGGAAACTGAGAGGGTAAGTGAATAAACCACAACCACATATACCAGGACCTGAGCCGTTCGTGACCTCTGACTGGAGTCTTTGTTTGTGAGCTCTGACTGGAGTGTCTAAGTGACCTCATTCTACGATTTCAAGTTATAGGTCACGTACTGAAGGTCCTGGTAGATGGTCATGGTGAATAGACCGTTGAAGGGGGTTCCTGGATCGTCTTTGTCTTTTTTGGGGGGGCAGGAAGTTGAAGAAATGCTTTGCGTGACACAGCTGGGTAGAAAGGGTTCCAGCTGATGAGAGACCACTCATTCAATTGTCAGAGGTCGCATCTCATTCGGCGCCACCTCAGATCCCATACACCCCATGAGACTGCCATGTCAGACTGCCGCCCCAGACTCGACCCCTGTGGCACCACCCCGATCGGCCGGAACTCTCGGCAGTCCGGAGCTGGCAGTCCCATGCCGTCGCGTCTGGGGATGAGACCACCAGATAGACCACCTCTGTCAGACGAGCTCCAACGCCGGACACGGGTTGTCCGGACATCGGTCGAGTGAATCGAGGAGGTGGCTGGCGATTCAGTCGTTCAACTCGGTGTGTCCATGGAACTCGAACCACTGGTGAACAACTACGCAGACACTCATGGAGGGGCCGTACCCTCATATGGAGGGGTCCGGATAGAACCAATCCCAATGGTTTTGAGGGACCAAGGACTGTTTGGAGCGTCTGGGTACTAACCCTATAGACCTCCCTCCTGGTGACCGAACCTTTTGTCGCTTCGGTATGACTGGACTCAGGTTCGCTGGTACGTGGGCCCCGGTCGTCGCAAACGAAACGAGTTACGAGTTCGTACCGTACTTGGAGGCCTAGCTAGGGATCACTGAGATCATGACAAAACACTGAGATCTAAGACACTCCTCTTGACTACGGCGACTACGGCTGTGGAAGCCGACGGCTCCGCTAGAAAACCTCAGACTGAAAACGGGTGACCCTTCGGGTGACTCGACGGCGATCCCGAACGTGAAAGGCTGGGTTCCCCCCCGGCTGCCGCTCCAAAAACCATGAAAAGAATGGGAACTGACCTGGCCCGTGTAGTGCAGAAAGAGGTAAACATCCTTGGTACAGAAATTGGGTTCTTTTGGTAAAGACCATGAAATCCTAGGGGTTCATCATCATCACCGTTCAAACCCAGAAAAAAAGAACCGTTCTCAAGAACTCAATCAGACTCATTCATTCCCCCAAAGAAACAAACATCATGCCCTGCAGTGAACTGTTTCCGAACCTCTCACCTCCTCAACCGAGGCTCTTCGCCTCTTCCGTGAAGGACTTCACCACCTGCGCCGCCACCTCCTCGCCGCTCCGGTGCTGGCGCCGTGGGGCGCCAGCGCGCGAGCTCAACTGTCGCACCTTCCGAGAGAGCTCCGCCTACGTTGCTTAGAGTAGCAGATGGCGTGAGGGTTGGCGTGAGGGTTGGCGGGTTGGCATGGACCAGGTCGGGAAGGACAGCGATGCGGAATGACTAGGATGTGATGTGGCTGACCCCCAAAGCACATGTGGGTCCGGGACTAGTTTCAAAGGCACCTCATATCGATTCTGGTCTGTTTGAGGGACCGTCTGACTCCGGAAGTGAAGTCGACAATGGATCCCCTGAGGTTTCTTTTCCCGAACTGGGCCAATCCCCTTCTTGCGAATACCTTGGGAGTCCAAGACCATTTTTAAAACGGTCTTTCGGTGATCCGAAAAGGAACTTCCTTTGGGTGGTGCCTAAAATAGTCTTTGGACTTCTAGGGACTATGTTACATCCGGACCCTCAAACACATAGGGTTTTGAGGGCCCGGACCCCTGCTATGGAGGGTCCGACCCCTGCCATGGAGAGCCCAAGGATTCTTAGGGTAACTATTGTTTCCAGGTTCCTTCATGCAAGACATCGATCCTTGAACGAGTGTGTGAAAGACTTTTCGGATTCTGGTCGGTGGCTGTTCTATTCCAGGACTGCCGTTCGCTTGGAGAACTGGGTCACTGGTAGGTGTTGAGTTCTACAACATATTGTTCGTTCATTTTTTTTCCGCACGAAAAGCACTAACGGGAAAAGACGTGAAGCCCCACCTACACCGTGAGTTTCTGCACCGCTCCACGGTGAGACTGCCGACGTGTTCGGGAAAAGAACCAGGTCCTTCGAGGCCTCTATAGTCGCTTGGCTTTCGTCCGGACTTGAAGATGGCGGAAAGAGAAGCTGCATGCCCCTATGCCACACCAAGAGATTCTTGCGATCGACCTTGGCAGTTTGCTTTCAGACATCCCCTATTTAGAGGTTGTGTTTCGTTCAATGTGTCCATTGACCATCTTCATGTGTTACTGATCTATAAGTAGCCAAGCTGCAGTTCGCATGTCCCAGTTCGCAGACACCACCTAGCCCTACACCTCCAGGAGGTGACCAAACCGTTTCGGTTCGGTCTGACTGGACACCGAAACGAAACAAAGAGACGACTGGAGCCACGAAACAGTCCCACCGAAAACCAGTCCCAGCATCCATGGGACTGGCATAGATTTACGAAACCACCTCAATTGGGTAGGTAATGGTAGGTATATCTTCACAGTGACCGGTCACTTGATCCCCTGGTTGGTTCCGTCACTGATATATGGCGTGTTGCTCAGGTCACTGATGGGGACTCCAACAGAAGGTCACTGGGAAGGTCCTGGAAGGTAGGTATATCTTCCAGTCCCATTAGTCGTGTTTGGGCTACCTCCGTGATCGCTTCGTCTGGTGCCCAGAAGCCCGGGTGGCCTCGGTTTAGCGGTGGCCTAGGTGTTTTTTTTTGGAACTGGGTCAATCCCCAAAGCCGGGGCCTATGTTCTTCCAGGTTCCGCAAATCCAGGTGGGTCTAACCAGGTCTAAGTACCTTCCCTATATGGAATTACATGCCCTTTGAGAAGGTGATTTCGAGGCGCTTTGATGTAGGCGCCAACAGGTTCCAGTACCTTCTGGCGAGCTAAGGTAGCAGTGGATCATAGTGGATCATCCAGGTTTTGGAGGATGTGGGGACAGGTTCCTTAAGGGATGGATTGGGGAATGAATCAGTGATACCAGGCAAGTTGCAGAACGAGATCTTCCTTGGTCACCTGAGAACCGTTGGTCTCGTCCAGTCTGGACACCGCCCGGGCCCCTTGACCTCCCTAGCAGAGAAGGAACGCACGCTCCACGAGATCCCTTCGCACCACGAGTGGAGGTGGAGCTGGTGAGATCGTGCCCGTTCACGGACCTCGCCGTCTCCGTTCGACCGCGAAAGGGAACGACCAACGCCTCCCGACTGCCAGAGGACTGCCGATCAATTGACCCCCCTGGCACCAGCCCTGGGGTCAATTGATCGGCAGTCCTATATGGCAGTCCCAGACAGGTCGTGTCTAGGAGCTGGTTCTTTGAGACGAAAAGACCGCTAAATCAAACAACATGGTGGCTGGTCCAACCGCTCGGGCTGGAGAAAGACCGCTGGGGTGGCACGAAAGAACCCTACTAGTTCCGTTTTGACGGGGTCCAACCCATCGTAGTGTATCCGATGTCGAGGTGTTTACCTCAGCAGCTTCTTGGAGGTGTTTCCTGGGCAGCTGCTGGTGGCACGGGCAGCGTCTTGGTGCACCAAATGAAGAGTTGACGTCACAAGTGGTTCAAGTAGGGATGGGTAGCATCAAAGACCTGGAGTTAGGGATGGAAGGACTTCAGCAACATCTCAAGATGAAGAACAAAACAACGTAAAATAAAACTCTCATTAGAAAACAACAACAATGACAAAAACAAGTAAAAACATGTAAAACCAAGAAACACTGGACAGCAGGACTCTATGCGTGTGTGTGTGTGTGTGTGTGTGCGCGAGTGTTTTCCAGTGTTTTGTGTTTTTGTGTTGTGTTGTTGGACTGTTTAGCGGCAATGATCACTGGAAAACACACACCCGTCTAGACTAGCGTCCTTCTCACCTTCTCTGAAAAAAATATAGTACCAAGCATACCTGGACCTTCCAGCTACCACAAAATATGGTCGTTTTTGTTTTATGGTCGTTTCGTTTGTATTGCTTTTTTTTGCAGATGTTTTGTTTGCGTTCATTTGTGTTAATTTGTGGTTGTTTTGCCGTCCTACCAATGTTGGTCCTTTGAAGATCCAGGCAAGTAATATTGTGTTGTTCATTTCTAAACATCCCTAGGCCTCCAGTTGTACCGGGTGCCCGGGTGCCATTCTACGTCGGGTCCAGTCACACCGAAGCTGAGGAGGTCTCCTGCTGGAGGCGTTTTCGGGCATATGACAACGTTTCCATCGCGTTCCACATCACCACAGGTTCCCATGTACCACCACATCACGGTTGTACCGAGGAGTCCCTCACTTGGCCCCGCTTGGCTGCTCTCCTGGGCGCCACGCTGGCACCGCGCCCAACGACGGCGACGCTGGCGCCGTTTCGAGGGAAGCACCAGGCGACCGGGGTCGGTCCACCGGAGCGTAGAAAGCGGTGAGCAGGAGTTGCGAGGGCAAGCGATGACCCGGGTGTGACCAGGTGTTCTTCACGAAGAGGACGATCAATTCCGAGGTTCTGAGCGCGGAGCGCGGAGAATTCACGATGTTTTGTTGTTTTTTTTGACGTGACAGAGTTGTTCTCGTCAGAGAAGACCACCTGTGATGCGTATTAAATATGCAAAAATCAAGGGGACTCTCAGCCTGGATTCTTAAAGAGTTCACCTACCTGCCTGATTGCCAGAGTCAGATTTTAAGGGTCAGATAATCAGCCTGTTGGATAGTCAGGTTGAAAAGTTGAAAAAGACTGTAAATTTGATTTTCATTGGTCAGGATTCTTTTTGTTCCACAACTCCAGGGGGGTTTTGCTTCTCTTCCGTGCCTGCCTTCGCACGCAGGTGCACCTGCTGCCCGAGACCCAGCAGCTGTTGAAAAGCTTCTATGCTCCCTATGTCCTGGAGCTCCAACACATGTTCAACGACGCTTACTAACGGACGGACGGGGAGGTGGATGGAGATGGGTTTCCCCGTGCTTGGTGGATCTTTCAAACGGGAAGGAACAGGACCTTGTTTTCCCACCACATATGGCAGGTCAACCGGCCAGGGAGAAACGGGCAACGGTTACGTGTGTTTGGACCCACAGCCAAGTGAATGCTTCCCCACTGCGCGGAACCCGATGTAACCCAAATCTGAAGCGGAACCACTGAAACAGTTCACCGAAACCCAGCCACCCCCTCACTGGAACTCCCAGTAGAACTCCCATAACCTCTCGTGGTGCTTTTGTGGGTGTTGCCGAATCAATAGGGCTGTATGGATTTTCAAGAAGTCCCTTTTGAAGCATATATGATTTGTATACCTGGAGTTTTTAAAAGAAGAACGATAACATGGGACACAACCCCCCAAAGAGCAGGTGCTTGAACAAAATTTCCTAAACATGTTGCCCGAAAGAAGGGGAGTTTGTCACTGTGAAAGGATCTAGTTGAGATACAGACCAACGCCAAGTCCACGAGCTTGTTCATGGCTTTTCTTTGGGCGATTGTTCTGAGAATTCCTGGTGCAGTAGCCAGAGTACTTGTATTGGACTTCGTTTGTTTAGAGCATCACGACCTCCAAGCTATGCAAGGAACCACTGGATCCATGAAACAAAATAGACCAAACATATCCAAACATCTTGGAACTCTTGGTTCTATTGATTGCTGTCGAGCCTTCCTTTGAGCCTTCCTTCTGAATGTTGTCTTGGGCTATGTGAAAGAAGGCCATGAAGGCTCGCTCCTTCTTTTCACCCCTTCAAACAATCCACCAATTCCGCGGCTCCCTCTCCATTCCGCGTGCCTCCATTCCGCCGGCCTCCTCGATGCGAGCATTCATCCGCGTCGGATCACGTCACGGCGAAGTCCGCGGCGAAGTCCGCCTGGCACGTGCTCCGAGGATTCGACGCTTTCGTGGTGGTGAAGGCCGTGCGACACCTGGTGCATCACTCCACCGAGCGGTCACTTCTCCTGGACGAAGCGAAGCGAAGAACGGTCTTCGGGTGTCTCGGTTCGATGCAAAATCGAAGAGGAGCAAGCTGGGTAGGTTTTTCTTGGTGAAAGGGAAGACAAGTTTCAATGAATCCAGAATCCATATATGGATTTGTTATATGATTAGTTTACCTGCATTAGGATCATTATAGTAGGGTGACTTTAAGATGTTTTTAGAAGTCAATGTAGGTGAATAGTCCAGTTCCATGGAGTATTTGGGCATAGCCATTGGACTTGTTTGTTTGAACCCCCAGGTCAAGCACCCCTCTGTTTTCCCGATCGGTCAATAGATGCCAGCCGGTGTGGTGTTGGGGTAACTTCCTAGAAATCCAGTCCCAACCTGGCTTTGGAATAGGGAAGGACTTCTTCACAGTGCTCACCTAGGGGCTAAAAACTTTGGAATAGGGAGAGACTACTTCACACCCTGGCTGGGTGTGCCACAATGGGTGTGCTTGGAGGATAGGTGTGCTCACTTAGGAACGAAGCAAACCACCCCATCGTGACTCCTGGTGCTTCGTCGCTTGGTTTCTGGTCGGTTTCCAGGGTTTCCACGGAGTGACTTTGGCCTACCAGGCAATTACCCGGGAGTTAGGCCCATGCAGAGCCAACCTGGGACCGATCGAGAGTCCGGCTGACCAGGGCCCATATAATACGACCTTTTTCAGCATGAATCACATGGGGTCAAGGGCCCAATCAGATTCGATGAGGATGATTTTGGAGCAGGATTTGTCCAGAGCATGGTTGCTTTTAACATAAAATAGTGTTTAGTTCATTGGAATACCTTTAGAGCTCCCATGATATTTGCAAGCAAGCCGCTTCTTTTCCACATGTGTCGGTCACGTCCCACGTTCGTCCTGTCTTCAAAAGGGGGCACTTCTGAGGTCGCGGACGACTCCGTTGGATTCCACGGCCGTCTGAGAGCGTCTGAGATCGGTCGATAGACACGTAGAGAGCGTCGTCAGGTCGGCCTGGAGAGTGAAATCCATATGGGCCTGGCCCTTCCAGTACCGGAGGTACTTAGGATCACATCCGGGGCTGGTGAACACTCATCCCATCCACATGAGGATCGGGCAGTGCCAGCCAGCCCGCGTGTGGCGAAGAAAAGACAGATCGCAGCAGGTTTGGGCAGACTGCGGATCGGAATGGGCGAAACAGTTTGGGGCAGACACCCTTGAAGTCAAAGACTACGTGGATCTTCCACATGTGCAACAAATTCTGCCTTATCTTATATATATTATAATCCTTATAGGTTAAGATAATGATTTGGCTGGTTTTATGGATGAACAGCCAGAAATAGTGCATTTAGTTCAACGATCCAGCTATAGACTATAAGACATGAACTTCCTTTATTCTCCTGGATTTATCTTTGATCAATCGTCTTGGGGGGACCCGAATTGGGGAACTTCCTCTACTAGTGCAAAACCTTGAATTTGGACTTGGGCAAGGTGCTTGGAGGATGTGGCAGGCACATGGTGCGCTTCTGTAGTGAGCTGCTAAAGTTATAAAAAACTTTCATATGGTAAGGCCAGAATCCGTGATTTAAAAAAAAGTCAAAAACAAGTCAAAAAAAGTCAACTGGAAAAGTCAAAGTCAAGAAAAATCAAAGTGAAAAGTCAAAAAATAGTCGAAAAAAAAAGAGTCAACAAACAGTCAACCATAGACCACAGCTCGAAAAAATCAAAAAAATAATCCCAAAAAAAGTCAAAACTGTGGCTCCTTGCCTTGGCGGATTACTGGAGTCAAGAAACAAAAAAACATCAAAAAGAAAGTCAACCATAGACCACAGCTCGAAAAAGTCAGAAAAAGAAAAAAAAGGTTGAAAAAAAGGTCAAAAAAGTAAACAAAAAAAAGTCGAAAAACAAGTCAAAAAAAGGTCAACAAAATGTCAAAAAAGGTCGGATCTGGGCAAATTGACCTTTGTTTTGACTTTCTGAAATTCTCTGATTTGATTCTTTTTTGACTTTGACTTTTGGGATTGACTTTTTTGATTGTTTTTTTCTTTTGTTTAAATTTAGAAAACAGGCTCTTTCCAATGAAAGTTTTTTATAATGCTAAAGTAAAACACATCCCACATGCACGCCACAGATGACAATGGCCACTTTGGCAGCAGTTCTTTTTTGCCTGTCTCAAATCAGCTACAGGGAGGCTTTCAGATGCCCGTGTCTACCCTACGGCACTCTCCACTCATGTGGAGTGTCTTTTGGTTTTCCGGTTGAGGGCGTTTCCGGTCAAGTTCTCATGACGATGATACGGTCTGCATGGGACTTTGGATTGTCAGGCCATGTCATGCACGTCATGTCATGTAGCAGCTAGCAGCTAGCATGAATGATGCTGCCATATATGCCATATATGCCGATCAGTTGGGGTGGTGCCAGGGGGGTCAATGTAGGCAATATATGGCAGTCCCATGGAGTGTTTGGGTATGAGACCAAATGAAATCCGTTCATCTCAACATTCTTAGATTCCATGCATTCTCACCGCTGGGTTCTTGCATCACCCCTGTTTTTGGCGGGCTAGAAGGAAGACAAGGGAGTCTCGTATAAACCCTAGGGATCCAACTGCCTCCTAAGAAGTTGGTTGGGGTGGGTTCTGGGCCTCTAACCACCTTCTGAGGATATGGTATAAATGAGTTGTTGTTCTATGTTGTTCGGCACGTGCAACACCCATGGCCCATGCAGCTGCAGCTCAGACACATCGACGATGCACGGGGGATCCTTGAGGCGAAATGGCCCCGCCGCGCGGCGGTGTTGCCACCAACCCCCAAACACCCCATGTTTGTACCTATACACCCCTGGTCAACCACCCTGCAGGCCAACCTGGTCTTGTGGTGATGGTGATGTTGGTCGTTTCCCGAATGAGGTGAATCCCCTAACCGGGTGAATCTGTGTGATTTGTCCCCCGGCTGGCGAGTTCGGAGCAGCGAAATCCACGTCAACATGCCGCTTGGGTCATTGGGATATCCTTGGCGCAACGTGCTCGAAGGTCCCACCGAATTCCGTCGTGCGGCCGGGCATTCGTGTTTTGGGGCTCGTGTTTGGTTGGGCATGGCGAACCGGAGGAGGTACGACTGGAGCTGTAGCGTTCATTGTGTTTTTAAGATGTTTTAAACATGTTTCAACCCAAGAACCATTGTTTTACAAAGATTACAAAGGGCTTGAACACCACCAGGAGTCACAGTTGAGTCCGTGGATGTGGCGGTCGGCACGGTCTGGGCACCCGTTGGTTCTCTCTATCCTCCTTCCTTCGGAACCGGCGCCCCGACGGAACCGGCGCCCAGTTGACTCCTGGCGCAGCGTTCGAACCCAGACGCTGAAACCCAGCTCGACTGGTCCCGAACCAAACCCTACCCATAGGGTCCAGGTACCTCCGTACTTCGGATGGTCGAACGGAGGTGAGTTCGTACTTCCAGAGAATGGTCTTACGGGGGGGTCTGGCAGGACATCCGATTCGGATGGTCCTGGACCCTTAGGGCTAGGGATTGGTTCGGGTCCGGACTCCTACTGAACGGAGGGTCAGGGTCGCGTCTGGGAATTTTCCCAGACACGACCTGTCTGGGACTGCTATAGGACTGCCGATCAATTGACCCCCCTGGCACCACCCCTGGTCGTTTCTCGGCAGTCCTGCAGTCCCATCAGTCGTGTCTGGGATATAAGACGTTCTTGAAAGAAAATCACTTGGGGTGGTGCCAGGGGGGTCAATGTAGGCATATATTCCATAATATTCTATACATGGAGTGTATGGGATTGGAACCACAAAGCATTTAGGGGGCGTAAAGGCGGCGCTGTCGCGCGCCTTCCCTCTAGGCGGCGGTTTTCCCGGGGTCGGCGGATTGCCCACCACTTACGCCCTGATGGTTCAACCACGAAGTCTTGTTCCCATCATGCTACACCCAGAGAGTGTGGGGCCTTGGGGTCCTTCTCTCAACCTTTGTACTGGTATTTCGAGAGTGCTGAAGACCGCCAGGGCGGATGATTTCTTCCCGGATCCATATGATGCCGTGCTGAAGACTGGACGATGGAGGTGGATCACGGAGTGGGCGATCAGGTGGTCGAAACGCCGAAGTGAACCGATAAAAAGCTCTTCGTACTTCGTACCCAGGGAAAGTGGACTGGAGAACCTTGAACAATCCCCCTAGGGCTCCAGTCGTACCTCCTCAGAAGGTGTTTGGACCCTCCTGGCACCCACCCCAGTCCCACCTTCTCAGAAGGTACGACTGGAGCCCTAGGGTCCTTGAAGTCTTTGAATGGGGCAGTGGTTTTGCAACGGAAATCCGCCAGCTGGAGAAATAGTGATGCAACCTTTGTTTAGCAAATGCAATTCCCAGACACTCCATGGGACTGGCATATTTACATAACATTGACTCCTTTTCAACCACCCCTGGCCGTTTCTCGGCAGTCCGTCTGATGGCAGTCCCATCAGTCGTGTTTGGGATTCATGGGCTCTCCAGAACCGGGCAGCTTTTGTTGTGCATTTCGTTGCTGTTTTTGGGTCGACACGACGGATGGGGGCATATTTCGATGGGAGGGGTGGGCGAACGGAGGTAGATATGTCAGTCCGATGGATGGTTTGGGTGGTATATACCCAGACACGGCCTGTCTGGGACTGCCATGACGGACTGCCGAGAGTTCCGGCCGATCGGGGTGGTGGTTTTGGGGGGTCAATTGATCGGCAGTCCGCCTTGGCAGTCCCAAACAGGTCGTGTCTGGGATGTGTAAAGATTTGGAACAGTGAAGAACTAAACATCGTCCCCAACTGGCGCATGATTTCGGGGCATCCTTGAACCGAGATTCCAATGGTCGAAGTCCCGGAATCGTGCAACTTGTGCAACTTATGCAACTTGTGCAACTGGTGCTTCTTGAGGGGGTCCAAGGTTCCAACAAAAAGAGGTCTTGGTTCTCATGTGTTGGTGAAGCACTGTCACCCAGGAAAAGTACAGTGGATCACCTGCCCCCCTTTGTGGGAGTGGTTTTAGTGACTTGTCGCCCACTAAGCAGCAACAGGTAGTTGATGGTCGAACAGATCGAAACGATTAACCGTCATTTTTTGCTTCGTGAAACCTTAAGGAGTCGGACGATGTAGTACGAAGGTCAACAACAACTATATACTTACCCTAAGGATCCACACCCTCTAGTTCGCAAGGGGGACTGGTTCGGGGCCCCAGGGCCCCTTGTGAACTGGAGGGTTCGACCCCGACCCCCATGGAGGTTCGGACTCGGATTCTTAGGGTAATTAAGATCTTCAAGTTAACTTGCCACATCGGAGAAAGCTGCTTGGCTCAGCTTGCGGCTGTGGAACTACAGAGCTTGTTATAGTTACTACCCTCGGTCTTTTCTTGAGGGTGGTTGAACCCATAACAGGCCCTAACAGGTACAAAGAGTTTTTAGCGAGTCTGACTGAGATAGAAACCTCTGGATTGGTTGGCTCTTCCTCTCAACGCGGAGTCGGAAGGCCAGGTCGGGTCCCTGGTCCCAAACTGCGAGTCTTCCGGCTTCATCGAAGGGTTCCGAGTTCCGACTGGGACTCGCATGTCCGAGATGGCAGTCCCATGGAATGGACGTGTATGGGAGATCGGACCTCAATCCAGTGACTATTCCCTACAAGTCCAAAGATCCAGCAAAAACCTGGTCTTTTATGGTCTTTTACCTCCTTGAGTCTTGGTTTTGCATGACCATCTCCAGTAAAATGAGGTCTTTGACTTGTAGGGATTGGTCAAGAAGCGCGGCAGATCCGCTATCCTGTTTCAGGGCCCAGATTCTTAGGGGATGTCAAATAACCCAGACACGACTGATGGGACTGGCATATGACTTTGCTGATCAGGCCAGGGCTGCTTGACCCTTGGTCAGAGTCAAATGTATGTTTCAGTCCCAGACAGGTCATCGTCAGGTTTATCCATCTTCATCCATCTTCTAGGTACTGTTTTTTGGACACAAACGCAAGAAAAGATCCGACCGCATTGTCAGGTCAGGTCAGACAGGTGGTGTCAGCTCTGTCTTTTCGTTGTGCCCAAAGAACACAGTATTGCGTTCGTTCCTCCCTTCAAAAAACAAGTACGCGCCGCCCAATGCCGCCCGTTGCGCACGCCCAACGCGTCGCTTCTGGGAGGCGCTTGCGCGTGCTGGGAAGCGGCGGTTTAGCGGCGTCTCGGCGGCGGAGGCGGTCGCCCGCGGCCGTGGCAGTTGAGCCGTGGCGCTGTTGTGCCCCACCTTTCATGGTCTGCCTATATACACTGTCCAGAACCATTCCCTCCAGCGCAAGGAAACGCCATAGAGACTTTCAACTTTTCAATCTTGACATAGTGTTTAACCACCGCTGGCGTGTGCCGCCTCCACGGCTGAATGCTGCCGCATGTGTGCAGAGGAGCAACGTGTCGTGATCAAAGAAATGAGAAGGGGAGCTAGACTGAAGGCAGGGAAAGCACAAAGCAAAGGAACGGCAAGGGCTGGCCCTAGAGGAAGGCATAAATTGACTCTTGCCGGTGGAGCAACCCTATAGAGTAAGTATTACAGTTGCAGGCTGTAGTGGGGGAGGGCGCGAGAGGGGGAGGGGAAGGGGTGTGTGGAAATAAATGCAGAGGTGGGCAAAAGTCGCGCGCAGGAATAAGGTAATGTAAGTTGAGTGGGCTTGGACCGGTGCTGAACAATGTGAGGTCACTCTAAAGCCATTCTAAGACTTCGAAAAGTGTATGTATATATATATAT